ATATTATGCATATATATATATATATATATATATATATTCAGTTTTCATCTTGTTCTGCTGTGCACATTCTATGCGAAATACATTTCCTTAGTTCTTTTTTCTTATGCCTACAAAAAGGTGCTATTAGTTACATCAGAGTTGAACAAATTTATTAAAGATTTCTAACTCCGCTTTTCATATCATGTCATGAAAGCTAATTCGTTCGGTGAGCAATTCTATTGTATTAATATGTTTTAACTTGTGCGTTGTAAACGCGATGTAGTTTTGTAATTATACAGCTTTGACAATGTTTAATAATGATATATGATCGCTTTCAAAGAAAAATTATTGCTTCTTTATTGTATAGACCTATTTCCGCTCCTGTTTTCTTGTTATTGTTCACAACGAACTGCGCTTAACATGTTAAGACTTTCCTATTTAATATAAAGTCGGATCGTTTTCAATATTATCACGTTATTCGAGGAGACGCCGGTGAGATTTATTAATTCAGTCCCTTTCTCCCCTACTCTTCATCGTCTCTATTTTTAATCAAATAATTTCTGTTATTTCTCTGTGTAGGTCTGAAGATTACTAAAAAGAAATTGCCAGTTCACACCACTATTCTTCTCTAATTGTCCCATTGAGCTCCTCTTAGAAGTTCAATTTTGAAACCAGGCGTGACCATCTCAAAATCTTCTGGCAGCAGCTTAGTTTGATGAGCTTTGGGTTGAAATTCGAATGTAATTTCGGGTTTTTCAAGTGCTGTGTTAACTATAACGAAATTAACTTAATTTCAAAAAGAGTGACTCAATAGTTGTGGAGGCATGTTAAAAAAGTCTTAAAAATCTTTGCTGGATTTTAACGTGGGAACTTGAAGAGGTTAGGTTTTAGGATGAAAAACCTTTGAAAATTGTTTTTTTCCTACATAACCTTACATATTCTGTGCTCTTTTCTATTTCAACCTGTAGGCTTTATTCAGTACCAGTGGTGTATATGGCGATTGTCTAGGGGCCTCTCAGACTTTATGTATATAAAGATCTACCATTAGCGCGTTCCGCAACAACTGGCGATCGGGAACAGGATCAGAAGCCTTCACCAACTAAAGACGAAGAAGAACTTCCACCAATCAAGGATGAAAAGAAACTTTATCAGTTTAGAACGAAGAAGAGTTCTCCACCGATCAAGGACGATGAAGAAGCCTCCGAGAAAGAAAAAAGAAGCTCTTTCACGGGTCCAGAGAAGTCAGCCATGCCTAAAGCTGTAGAAGAACGATGTGGTCATGACTCTAAATTGGAGAAGATTCTAATTGTCATGATCGAGCAAATGAAGATACAGCACGACAAAATGAAGTCAATGCTCGCCAGTCCTAGCCGTAGTCAATGCAATGCCGCCCAGGACGCCAGCTAAGATCTATATGATCACTAAGCAGGGACGTGCAAAAGTTCGTCTCAGACGAAGAGACACGGAACGCATTCGCCTAGATCTAACAGGTACGGACCGGTCGTACGCGACGCTTTGTTGTCAGACGACAAGAAGCGCGATCTTCACTCATGAAGCTCGTTGAGGACGCATATCGGAAGTATGCAGATGAGGTGCTGCCTATGCAACGATATGAGCTAGATTTACAACGGTCGCGAATCTCCAGAATCCGTGTGTCTCTAAGAAGACATTAGGAGAAGACACGAGGGTCACTTCTCCGCCGCTGACTAACCACATGCGTTTCGGGAGTGCGCCCACACAATCGAGCGAATGGACGAGGACGCACGACTTAAGGAACCCGACTGCACCCGGAAGAGTTACAAATGTAGCGGATTTTCAGGATCCCACACTGCGATAGGTTCGCCTTAGGATGACTCGTCGACTGGACTCACATGCGGATGACACTTGACTGTTAATTTAAGATCTGCTTAACGAATGTGAGAATTTTGCCGCGTTGAAAATGGACAACACGGACATGGGAGTAACTCAATATTCACGCTGTGTGGAAGAAAAAGGTAAAATGTTTCAACTGTGGAGGTCCACGTTTTAGAGCAAATGCCCAACCTCCGCCTCCGCTGTCAGAAGAACGGGGACCCAGTCCTACGGTCGCAAGAGACAGTGCAAAAACATTGTTGCGTTGGACGCCGAGAATGTAAGGACTTACCTGACGTCATTATCAATGGATGTTATTTGCGCTTCCAGCTGGATACAGGCGCTGATATAACTTTGATATCTCGCCGAACCTGAAAAAGAATCGGACCGCTTACTCTGGAACTTTGCATCATACCTGTGAAAACGGCGGCAGAAGGAAAGCCGATGGAGATCAATGGTAGATTTCCCACGACTTCGCCGTTCAAGATCGTGTTACAGGAAAGAAGATCCAACGAAATGGAACATGCTACGTCATCGAAGGCCGAATCTACTAGCATTAGAATGGTGCATGCAGTTGCAGGTTTACATGCAGTAAAAGAACAAGTATCACGGCCGGAAGGCGACTAGAGAAGAAGAGCTTCGAATGAAGGTCACGCAGACTTGGAGAAGCAGTATGCAAAAGTCTTCAAGTGCGGATTGAGAAATTGCACAAAGAGCAAAGCAATGCTGTTCTTGAAGGACCATTCGATTCCTGTCTTCAAGAAAAAGCAACCAGCCTCATACGCAACCCCACCGGAGTTGAGGCAAAAATTGATAGATTGGTTGCCGAGGGAGTGATTTCTGCAGTAGAACGCTCAGAATCGGCTGCGCCAGTATTATTGGGTGTACAACTTAATTCGGTCCGTTTGCAAAAGATGGCGTTAGGTGCTATAAATGTTTGACGGCGACATCTGGTTTTTGGTGTATCATGAAGTGTCAACATCTGTGAAAAAATAATGTTTACAAGC